TATAGCTGCCGCATCGGTTTCGTTTTCGTTTTACCACAGTTTCGGTGGTTGAAGCAGTTGCGGGACTAACAGCCGGCTCACGCCTCCGACTGTTAGTCCACGGAACTGTAATTTGATAAATGATGCCTGCCTTGATTAATGCCGTGTTGGCCCGACGTGTTTCTAGTCTTTCACTTCAGAGGTTGCATCAATATCATTTACGTGGGTCGACCAGGTCTTGATATATCGCGTTACTAATTTGCCTATAGCATGTGGGATGCGCTAAACTTGTAGTTGCGAACGATACTGCTGCAACAACGCGGCTTTGAGATTCAGTGCCCGGTCCGTTTCGGCGTAGGACTCGATCGAACAAACTCCAAGTGTGTATTTCGTGTAGAAATGAATTCTTTGCTATTAGGTTCACGACGATTAGGTTGCCGATCAAATAAGGATACTCGTGCGCGGCTCTATCGCTTAGCACTTTTTCGTCAATAAATTCGTACAAGAGAAAGAAAATTTATGTTCATTATAATTATAACGACCAAATGTCGGCATCGGGAAAATTGAACTTTATTTCTATTCGAACAGAGCGAATAACAAACATATTTAGCAAGCTATTTTCGAGGTTTTAACAAGAAATCTAAATAAATTCTCTAATAATATAATAAATATCTGCACAATTTTTAAACGTATGCAATAAAGAGTGTGGATTCCCACGTCGAAATTTCTTTCTTTGCATTCCAGTACAATTAAATTATCCAACTATCGCATACAAAGACCCCTCGTCTCTTATTAATAACAACATTTTGTATCATAGTACAGTTTCCTGGCTACAAATATTTTCCTCGGAGAACTAGATCATGTACCAGAAACTTGAATAACGAAAACCATGAACAGGTTATCCCGAACTTTTGTTAATATTCGCGATCGATTTACATGTTCGCAGCTTTTGCAGAAAAATACACGGTCCTTGCGTCGTTACGTCGACACTCGTCCTCGGAAGGATAATAACAACCAAACGCGGCATTATTACCATTTCCCTTTTCTCGCGCTTAAATCGGCGAAACGTCCGAATAAACCCGGAATCCTTGGAGCGAGTGCTAAAAATATCTCAACATCCTCGGCGTGAGAACAAGGAGGCGTTGCTCGGGGAAACAAGACGTGACCGTTCGCGTTAAAATTTCAGGCGCGACTGCCGGAAGGTAAAATACACGGATTAAGTGTCGCGTTTCCCCCGGACTCCGGGAGAATCTTAAGCAGAACGAACGGCGGGCGCAAACTTGCGTCGAAATTTACGTCGATTCGATGACCGGCCCGGAGGCCGCGATACCGAAACGGCCGAACAACCTACGTATAGCCGGGTGGTGCCGGCTTTACGATCGGCAGCAACAGGATCTTTATCAATAGAAGCACTTTCCGAGCGGCTCGATGTTGCGGCACAATGGACGCACGCGAACCGTACGGGGAATAAAATCAAACGGCCGAAAAACTATTGAAAAGTAAATCGACGGACATGTACTACGATACACGGGGGAGGCGAAGCGGGCCGTACAGCAGCGGCAGGGGGGGGGGGGTGGAAGGGTGCGCGAAACCGTCGTCTCTGGTATCATCTGCTGCACAAAGCCGTAAAGTACGGCGCCCGGTTATTTCGGTCAATCCTCGAAGAGGAGGCCGTCCGGAAAATATTCACATCGATCTGCGCCGAGTGACCTCTCCCCGCCCGTTTCTATCTGCCAGAGCGGAGCGCGCGACATACGCCCCCACATTTACACACGCATCGTTTTCACACAGGCCCGGCCCGGAGATTCGCTCGCCCTGACCAAAAACTCTCTCTCTCTCTTTTCCTCTCTTTTATATCTCACTCCCTCTCTCCCTCTCTCCCTCTCTCCCTCTCTCCCTCTCTCCCTCTCTCTCTCT